GGCTGCATTGGGATTGAGTCCCGCCGGGTCCCGCGGGACCCAACGCAAATCTCGCGGGTGCGGGCGGTTTGAACTTTGCTGCGGGCGGGAATGGGCGGACAAATAAAACCCCTGCGGGATTGGGAGGAGGTAGCCTAACGACATGATGGAGATGTCAATGATGTGGAAAAGAACCTTAAACGAGGTATTTACAGTACAAAACCTGAGCAAGGCAAGTCTGACATTTACTATTCATCTTCCTGATCAGTGCGTCAGAATACATGCAGGCCAGGGAAACGAAACCAACAACCCCATGAATCTCTTTAACAATAGCAATACAAATACGCGTTTTTTTCCTGCGGGACGGGAGAAGACACAAAGTCAGTGAATCTCTATTATTGTGCGGGAATAAATTCTCCGAGTTTTGCGGGTGCGGGCGGGAGTGGACATACATATTGCGGGAGCGGGCGGGAGTGTAACACATACGTTGCGGGAGCGGGCGGTAATGGTCAAAAATTCGGCGGGCGCGGGCGGGAGCGGGATGAAGAAAACAGTCCCGCGCAGGACTCTAACACACACACACACACACACACACACACACACACTCAGGATCTGATGTTGATTCTTGTTTTATTACGAGCTCTGTCTCGTTCTCTTTCTCCAGCAGACTCTCCTCTGTTCACACACACACACACACACACTGTCGAGCTCTGTCTCGTTCTCTTTCTCCAGCAGACTCTCCTCTGTTCACACACACACACACACACACTGTCGAGCTCTGTCTCGTTCTCTTTCTCCAGCAGACTCTCCTCTGTTCACACACACACACACACACACACACACACACACACACTGTCGAGCTCTGTCTCGTTCTCTTTCTCCAGCAGACTCTCCTCTGTTCGGATAACTCTGACATGTTTGTTTGCAAAAACAATCAGAAAAATGTGTGCATATAAACACACTTGCGATATAACAAGAAATACACAATATTTGTGGTTTAATATTGTTGTTTTTCCATATATAAACATTGTATGATATATAGAAACAAAAATGAATGAACATTCACTGTTGTTTGTGGATACAGCTCAAAGTTGTTTAACCTTCTATTAATTTCAAGTCTTGAAAACAAAATATAATAAATACTTTTTTTTATATAAGTTTAGAATTATTTATATATTATGCGAGTTACACACTGAACTTTGAGTGTAATCAATACTTAATGTAGAAAACACTTCTTCTTCTTCTTCTCACACCAGAGATTATTTAATCAATCCGAGTAGAGCTAAAGGAAACATTCATTTATTTGTGTTATATATTTATATGTGAGCCAGAATCTCTTCATCCTTGCTAAACGAAGACATTCTCACGTCTTTGATCCCTGCCCGACATCGTGATCCAGAGCCTGACCCGTAATCAGCTCTGAGAAGCAGGCTAAGCCCGGCGCAGCATTACAGTGATTAGATGTTTAAACGCTTCATCGTCGAGTAATCTGCCTGTTGAAGAAATCAGAAGAACATACAGCACATTAGATCTCTCATATCTCAATTGTTTCTCCTAGTCAGCAAAACGATTAAAAGGAGAGCATTTTCTGCTGATCTTAGATGTTTCTCCTGAGAAAAACCCACAAAAATATCACATTTTGCATTGATTGTTCCACGAAATCCACAGAATCTTTCAATTTTTTAACAGAAAAAGGTTAATTTTTGATTGTTAAAATGTTCTTCACACTAAGAAAAAATGGTTATTTTAAGAACTGATCACTGAAAGGTTCTTTAGGGAACCCAAATGTTTCTTCTTTGGCATCGCAGCAAAAACCACTCTTTTTTTAAGAGTTTCAAAAGAGATCTAAAAAAATGTACAGGTGAAACTGGAAAAATTCGAATATGGTGCAAAAGTTCATTTATTTCAGTAAATCAACTTAAAAGGTGAAACTAATATATTATATAGACTCATTACATGCAAAGTGAGATATTTCAAGCCTTTATTTGTTATAATTTTGATGATTATGGATTACAGCTTATGAAAACCCCAAAATCAAAATTAGAATATTGTGAAAACGTTTTCATAGCTATAAGCCATAATCATCAAAATTATAACAAATAAAGGCTTGAAATATCTCACTTTGCATGTAATGAGTCTATATAATATATTAGTTTCACCTTTTAAGTTGAATTACTGAAATAAATGAACTTTTGCACCATATTCGAATTTTTCCAGTTTCACCTGTATCTGAGATGCTCTCCAAATTGATTTTTATATCTCTTGCTGTATGTTAATTTACTCATTTATGTCTATATTTATTTCTCTTGAGGCATTTGCAGGAGAAACATCTGAAGCAAAGTTAAAGGAAACGTTACTGAGATCTCCTGAGCAATAGAGTTTTCCTGCGGGCGGCAACAGAGCGAAGCGTAAAAAGTGACTTGAAAGAGAGTTGGTCTCACTTCACGGATGGTGACGTTTCAGCAGTGACTCACAGCATCAAAGCCTCCTATTTCTCATTCATATTCATAACATGCGAAGATTCAATCTGCAGTTGAGACTGAATGACTGGATCCAACTAGATAAAATGATTTCAGCTAAATGTTTATGGTGGTAGATTAATAATGCACACTTAAATTCTCATTACAGCTCAGATGATGCACCATCCCAAGACATCGGCGTTCAAGAGAGTAAGTTGTTTTGATAAATATCAAAAATTAAATTTCTTTCCTCAATGGTTCTTAGTATTTAACCCTTTCAAGCCTGCATGATCAAAACCTGTTGCACTAAATCTACATACCTTCTGTCGTCTGATTGACAGACTGTTTAAGCAAGTAAAAGGTATTTTAGTGTAATTGGAAACACAATATTGTTAGTAATATTTCATGATGAACACTTACTGGACTGAGGTAACTCAGGTTTGCTTGATTACCATCAATACCTCATTTTCTTTTCTTTTTTTAATCATGTTAAAATGTGAGTATCAAATATGATGAACATCAGGCTTCGGAGGATCATTTATTTGTTCATCTCTCAATTATTATTGTATTGCATTGCATTATGTTTTAAAACCAAGCATTATCTTAATAAAACATTATTGGGAGATATATGCATTTTATGTTAGTAGTCTGTTATAAAGATCAAGGATTTACATTACAAGCATCAGAATGTGATACTCTTTGACCATATAAATATCAGCATTTGCACCAAAATGCTTATTTTTGCTCAAGTGAGTTGTTTTCCCACCATATTCTAACTATATCAAATATACAGGTGAAACTCGAAAAATTAGAATATCGTGCAAAAGTTCATTTATTTCAGTAATTCATCTTAAAAGGTGAAACTAATATATTATATAGACTCATTACATGCAAAGTGAGATATTTCAAGCCTTTATTTGTTATAATGTTGATGATTATGGATTACAGCTTATGAAAACTTTTCACAATATTCTAATTTTGAATTTGGGGTTTTCATAAGCTGTAAGCCATAATCATCAAAATTATAGCAAATAAAGGCTTGAAATATCTCACTTTGCATGTAATGAGTCTATATAATATATTAGTTTCACCTTTTAAGTTGAATTACTGAAATAAATGAACTTTTGCACCATATTCTAATTTTTCCAGTTCCACCTGTATAATAAAGAAACATGTAATTTACAAAAAATGGTCTAAACTACTATTTCACATGTCAGGTTTTACAGGGTTAAAACATTCCTCTATACATTGTTTTAGTAAATTAACAGCTGTTATTTGTTTGAATAAATCTGATATGTCTGGTGTGTGTGTGTGTGTGTGTGTGTGCAGACGCCGATGGCTCGGTGTTTGTGTCTGAAGCGCGTCTCAGACGGACGCTGCAGGTGAGATGTGTTCGTCTGCCAGCGAAGCCGATGTGACCTTGTGCCGCCGCTGGGGTGCAGATTCACCAACAAGATGAATTTAATCCTTGACAGACTGCAATGTCTTTGGAAAAACAGATTACAGACATGCTACATTTTTAATCAGGAATTTCATTCTGATTTAGGATATTATTACAGTGCCTCAAAAAGTCTCGTTCTGTAAACTGTATTTAACAGCAGGCATAGGGGAGAATGGGGCTAGTTGTCACACATATGTTTTTATATATAACAGTTAAATAATCACAATGTATGTTGGCCAAAAGGGCTGGTTTATATATAGGTTTAATATATGTTACCTTTTACATTTGTGTTGCTTAATCATCTGTTTTGTGGTTCATAACTGTTTTAATGTTTAGATTTAGCTGAAAAGCTTATGCTCTTTAGTGACAGTTTATACTGTGACAACTCACCCCACTTTGTGTGACAATATGTCTTGTTACTATAAGGTACGACATAGCCTTGTTGAAAGAAGTTAATATTTAATTTATTCAGCAATCAAATGAGATTACAAGAGATTTCCATTTCAAATAAACGTTCTATTCATCAAATAATCCTAAAAAAAGAAAGTATCACGGTTTCCACAAAAATATTAAGCAGCATAACTCTTTTCATCATTGATAATAATCAGAAATGTTTCTTGAGCAGCAAATCATCATATTAGAGTGATTTCTGAAGGATCATGTGACACTGAAGACTGGAGTAATGATGCTGAAAATTCAGCTTTGATCACATATATTATATTCACTTTGAAAACTGCTATTTTAAATTGTAATATTTCAGTTTTTACTGTATTTTTGATCAAATAAATGCAGCCTTGGTGAGCAGAAGAGACTTCTTTCAAAAAACATCAAAACATCTTCCCAGCCCCAGTCTTCTGAATGGCAGCGTGTGTGTGTGTGTGTGTGTGTGTGTGTGTGTGTGACCCTGATTTGCTCTTGTTCCAGCCGTACGGATGGCAGCTTCACGCTCCTCCTCGCAGAAAGTTGCTTCAGTCTCCAGGATTGCTGCCGTATTCTCCTCTGAGTGTGACTTACAACGGCAAGACCTGTATCCTCTTCAGGGCCCGCAAACTGGCCATCCGGTACAGGAATCACAGTTTAGTGGACCTCACCGAGAGAACCTTCAGCCCAGACGCGCCGGT